GGGCTTCAGTCGGTCATGAAATATACTCGGCCCGCATTCTGATATCCATATCGATCGATACGAAGGCTTTCCCATCGATCGACATACATTCCTCTTCTTGACACCCTTCTCTCGCGAGGCAGACTGACCACTCTTCAGTAAAACGGGCATAACTTCTGATCTAACCGTTGGATTGACCCCAAACCGGTGGCATTGGATATCTAACTAAAAGCTCTATCTTGTGTCCAGAAATCCGCTAAATTGCACCATGAGAAGGTCTCCATCCAAATCTAAACATCTGACGCGTCTGCGCAGTTCTGCACTTAAAGGCTCCAAAAGACACCAAAATCACCATATTTCTCCAGAACGTACTTGAACCTGTAAATACTCTAAATAGACTCTATACTGTAGTAAATATACATAAAAACACCAATAGACCATGGCAAAAAATGGGTAAAATCCATGGTATATCACTGATCGGGTAAGTATTGTAGGATCCAAAGATCTTCCTAGATCCTGATTTCATTCTTTGGGTGGACTTTTTGTCTAATACCCAATGTTATTAATCGTTTTGCCGCCATAACACTAGTACATCCATATGAGGGATTATCAATAGTGTGTGTTCGCAAAGGCGAACAAAATCTGAAGTATTTTCCCCTCACTACTCTTGTTAACAAGGAACCAGGAAACTAAACTAATCTCCAAAGTTGTTTCCCTAGCAGAGCAACATTATTCAAGGATCATTTTGAAACCTATCCCACCTTTCTCCTTGGCTTACAGAGCTTCTACCATATTGTCTAGTGAATACCTCTTTTCGGGGGTTTTGAACTCAACCAGAATTATGCAATGGCACTGGTTAAATTTTCACAAAATTCTAGCAGTAGTAGAGTGTCGACATAATATAAGTTGGCAATGCCAGCAGTAGAAGAAAAAAAATGGTTACTCTCACCAAATCAAGAGTAAGAATAAGTGTGTGTTTTTCTTTGGTGTTGGTGTGTTTCCTTAAATGAGATAGATAGGAACCGTCGGATGGACATCGATCCAATGGTGAGGGTTTGTTGTGTTTGTAATTAGTAGGTAAGGTAATTAATGCATGAGTCAGTGTCTCGAAGGCGCAGAAGAAGTAGCTCTCCGCCGGTGAAGAAGAGAAGTCTGGTTAGGCTGTTTAGTTTTGTAAAAATCACCTTCACTAGTAAACAACTCTGTTAAACAACTCTGATATTTGAATTTTGTCGTGAAAATCACGTATTTTTAGGGATTTTGGAAGGAGTGAAGAACGAGGATGGACGAGCAGTGCTTGGTCTTAAGCGGCGAGTGGGTGTGTGGAGATGGAGGTAAGTGGGATTTCATCATTGAGAAACATCGCATGGGTCGTATGGTGCCCGTATACGATGGCATTGGTTGTCTGGAACTTGAACACAGAGTACTGCAGGAGTTTGGAGTGGATGAAACTCGTTTTGGTGTTGCTTTGAGCTACTGGCCACCTACAACTATTGAGCTTGCAACAGGGATTAGGACTCCACATGTTCTGATTACAAGCGATGGGACTGTGAAGTATTTCTGCAAACATATGAAAGTGAAAAGGGAGATGAACTTGTTTGCGAAGTTCGAAGAGAAACCCAGAGGTGTGGACGTCGGTAATGTGGACACTGATGTTGTGGACGATTCAGGTTTGGGTTTTGTGTCACCAGAAGCAGCAAGGTTTTCTTCTGGGTCATCTAAAAGGGTTATGTATCATCTGGTTCGTCTAAGACAAAGGTTATTAACCTTGTGGAAGATGAAGATTTAGTACAAGAAGCTGAGAAGGTTGGAGGAAGATCGATGAGTTGTGAAAGAGTAAGAGGAGAAAGCAGTGAGGGGCTTGATGACAGTGGTTTCAGTTATGGAGGTAACAGTGTAGAAGATGTTGGTTTGGAGGAGATGGATGTAAGGCCAAGAGGTTACGACTCAGAGTTTTGGAAGCCTTTATTAGATGGAGACTATGGTGGTTCTAATGCTGTAAATGTTGTATTTAATGAGGATGAGATTTTTGCAGGCCTAAACAAAAATTCAGGACCCAGGACGTATGTTGAGGTAGGTGGGTCAAGCAGTGGTAACAAAGAAAACTCACCGAAGCCAGAGGATTATAATCCTTGGATGGGAGGTGTTAGTGATGGTCATGCTGGAGTTGATGACGAGGAGTTTGACGACTACCAATGTTAACACCAGCATGACCATCACTAACACCTCCCATCCAAGGATTATAATCCTCTGGCTTCGGTGAGTTTTCTTTGTTACCACTGCTTGACCCACCTACCTCATCATACGTCCTGGGTCCTGAATTTTTGTTTAGGCCTGCAAAAATCTCATCCTCATTAAATACAACATTTACAGCATTAGAACCTCCATAGTCTCCATTTAATAAAGGCTTCCAAAACTCTGAGTCGTAACCTCTTGGCCTTACATCCATCTCCTCCAAACCAACATCTTCTACACTGTTACCTCCATAACTGAAACCACTGTCATCAAGCCCCTCACTGCTTTTTCCTCTTACTCTTTCACAACTCATCGATCTTCCTCCAACCTTCTCAGCTTCTCGTACTAAATCTTCATCTTCCAATGACGAGGAGTTTGATATTCCTCCAATGTTTGATGACACTGAATATGATGTGTCTGAAATTCCTGATATGGATGTTGATGAACATGACAGTGAAATAGCTGTTGGGAAAGTGTTTGGTAGCAAGGAAGATTGTCAGATTGCGTTGGCAATTTATGCAATAAAGAAGCAGTTTAAGTTCACGCAGACTAGGACTAAGGTTGATTCTTTTGTTGTGGAGTGTCCCGATAAGAGGTGTGATTGGCGGGTAACGGCTCATGAGATCCGTGGGTGTGGTTACTATGAGATAATGAAGGCTCAACAAGATCATCTCTGCCCAATGGAATACAGACAAGGTTACAAGAGTAGAGCAACATCACGTGTCATTGCGGCAGTGTACAAAGCAAAGTTTGGGAACCCCGGGAAGGCTCATGTGGCTCGAGATTTGCAGAAACTTCTTCTCGAAGACCTCCGTGTGAATGCTTCTTATATGACTTGCTATAGGGATAAAGAAAAAGCTATACTTGGAGTGCGCGGTTCTGATGAGGTCGCATATTTGAAGCTACCAGAATATCTGCACATGCTTCAGTTGGCAAACGCGGGTACAATTGTAGATTTGCAGACGGATCTAGACAACGAGGGAGATGAACGCTTCCTTTACTTGTTTCTTGCATTTGGGGCTTCAATTAGTGGGTTCAGGAAGCTGAGGCATGTGTTGGTGATTGATGGAACCCATCTTAGCGGCAAGTACAAAGGAATTCTCTTGACAGCTAGTGGGCAGGATGCTAATTTCCAAATCTTCCCTCTCGCCTTTGCAGTTGTGGACGCTGAGGACGAGGATTCGTGGACGTGGTTCTTGCAGAAAGTAGAGAGGATATTAGGAGATTCCCCTACTCTTGCAATTATATCTGACAGGGCGGTGCCCATCTCCAATGATGTGAGTAAGATTTATCCTCAAGCGAAGCATGGAGCTTGCATAGTACATTTGGCTAGAAATGTGAATTCAAGGTTTTCAAGTAAACACTTAGCAGAGTTGGTGACAAAAACAGCGATGGTGCATGTGCCACGTGAGTTCAAGGAACTTTATGGGAAAATAAGGGCAACTAACAGTGCTTGTGGGTGTATCTTGGTAAAATTGGTACAGCAAGATGGTCAAGAGCCAATTTACCGGGTGAGAGATATAACATTATGACTAGTAATATTGCTGAGCAGCTTAACAATGCGCTATTGGAAGGGAGAGGAGCCAACATTATAGAGTTGATAAAGTTCATTCAGAGAATGATGACAAGGTGGTTCAGTGCGCGTAGGAAGAAGGCGGGGAAACACAGTGGGGCAGTGAGTATAGAGGTGGACAAAGAGATGACAAAGAATATGGCCACTGTTAAAGGAAGTTACATTAACTCTGTGAATGAGTGGACTTCTCAAATCGTGGGAAAATTTGGGAGGTCGGACAAGGTAATGCTAGCAGAGAGGAGGTGTAGTTGTAAGTATTTTGATAATATCAAAATACCTTGTGGACATGCTATACTAGCAGCCAACAGTCTTGGTGTGTCTACTGATACACTATGCGGTCATTGGTACAAGACATCAGTGTGGAGGGAGACATATGAGGGTGTGATAAATCCAGATGAAGATCCAAGGGATGTAGACATACCTGAGGAAGTTACGAAGAAGATAATATACCCTCCCATCACTAAGAGGCAGCCTGGACCTCGTCGGAAGACACGCATCCCTTCTACGGGAGAGATAAAGGTGAGAAAAACTGTGTTATAAATCAAATGTTGGAAGAGAATAGGAGAAAAAATGTTAACGAAGGTTTGTTTGTATTGTTGTAGGTACCAAAGAAAAAATTGAATCAGAACAAATGTGGGAGGTGCATGAGAGTTGGACACAACCGCACCAATTGCGTGTGTCCCATCTAATCGTCTTGGTTGACATGAAAGGGGGGTTGTTTTCGGGAAGAGATTTATATAGCTCTTAATTGTTTTTGGTGAAACAATATATGGGGAGCAAACATTGTATCGTCGATGCGGAATATGTTATTGTTGTTTTTATGTTCTTTTTTGAAACAATATATGAAGAGCAAACGTTTGATTAGAGGTGATTTTTCGGTTGTTGAGACATATGTTATCTTTGGAGCTGTCTAGTCTTGTTGAATTTGTAAGGTTTAAAGTTGGGAAGGTTGAGGAGTTGGACACACATTTAACATAAAAGATTATGTAAGACATGTGAAAAGGATTACTAATTGTGATAAAAAAAAAACTAAATTAGTTGGAATCACAACATATGAAAACAAAGTTTATCAAGAAGTAGAGACATTACAACATCCGATGCTAGCCATTTAGTAGGACTGAAAGAAGAGCATTCATTTCAGCTAGAGTAGTTTAGAATCTAAAGCATTAGTTTGCATAAGAAAATAGGACAATTGAAAATGACATTTAAACATCTAGTTGCTGATCCTAGCGTAGATCCAGACCATAGCCCCAAGTGCAATGGCTGCAACTGCGATGTTGGACAATGAATTGGCAGAAGAGAGATCCTTGGGGGAGGCTTTAGGATCTTCAGAGCTCGTAGCTGAGTTGTCACCAGTGGCACAGTTGTTAGTGTTGGTATCCATGAGCATTTGGATCTGTTGGATGGTTTGATCGATTTGTTTGGCCTGTTTTTCCAAACGTCTTGCCGTGCACAGCTTGAAAGAGTCGAGATCTTCTTTTAGTTGGGATTGTTTTGCATCAACAATATTGATTTCGTCTACAATTGCCTCATCGACCCACTTGAACAAGTGGTGCTCACTTTTCCTCTGTTAATGATTAAGCGGATTAGTTCAGTCTTTCACTTGAAGTGATATTGGTAAACAATAGATGGTGGGGTTTGAACGTACCTTGAGCCAAATCTCGCATCTGTAGAACCTGCGGAAGAGATTATCCTTGGTTTGAGCACCAAATGTAGTTAGATTAGCTCCACACAAACAACGAGTGGGTATTCCAGTTGTTTGTCTCCCTAAATGTGAGATGGAGGAGGAAGAGGATGAGCTCATGACGACTGTGGAAGTTGAAAAGAGTTTGTTAGGGATTTGGGTGGTGATAATCGGTGATGTAAATGAAAAAATAGGAGGGAATTGGGGACGGGCTAGGGATTGTGGCTCGGTAATTGTTTGGTGTAGATACTTAATGGAAATGAAAGTTCTGTTGAAGTCCGACTTCTAGGTTAAATGAGGTGTACGTAAATTGTGTGGATGTGGACGGAATGACATCCACAATGCTTTGGATGTGTTTGTGGACAAAAATGATTATTGGACACAAAAGAGACAAAGAACAGAGTATCGTAAAACATAAGTAGTCTTAATAGATTAATAAGTCTTAAGTTACATCATTGATAGCGTGGATTATGTAACATCGTTGACAAAAGACCTAAGCACTACGACACTCCCAATATATTAAACCAAAAGGGTGGGAGGAGATATTGATTGTAGCTTCTAATCATCAGTGCAGTGGGCAGCATAGTACGCAGGAAGCACCAACGTCTTGTAGATGTCCATTGCGTACTGCTTGCGTATGTCTTCGACAATCTTGTCTGTGATGTCGGCCATTCCAGGGGATGGATCACCATGTGCGTGCAACTCTAGGAACTTCATGGTAACAGGACCGCAATCACCAGAACGACCGTTGATATAGATGTCTGGAATACGGCTGCAGACAAAAGGCTTCACACCAGTGAATTGGGTTAGCTCACACATGGCAACTTTCTTCACAAGGTAAGGGAGGCAAGCAAGCACTGGTTTCATCAAGTTACCCATGCGTCTAACTCCATTCAAAGCTGGGAGAGGATCAAGTACTTCTACCAAACCCATGTCGAGGTTGATTGCTAACCCAACCCAGTGAGATTTGTTCCAGAGCATGGGCGTGTAGATGGTGTGGATTTCCTCCATCCATTTGTTTCCAGGACAGAGCACAGTGTCCACCAAACGCTTGTCCCAGACGAAAGTGTCCTTCTTCTTCTTACCACACTTGTTGAAAGTGATGAAAGCTTCGTTTATAGCTGAAGCAAGGGTGGGAGGGGCGAAGGATGCTTTTTCATTCTTTAGACTCTCAGAGTGTCTTGCAGAGAGCATGTGGACAAGAATTTCCATTTGCTGGACATTTAACAAATGCTTAGAGTTAAAGACAACACACCATCAGACAATGATAGAACAAACAGAGAGGGGGTGTCTTACATATGAGGTTGTCCATTGCTTAGGCTGTGCAATCTCTAGGAGCAATTTGTTTGAAAACTGAAACTCATATGGAGTGCTATGGAACCTGTGAGACAATTAAAATTTTAAAAAGGGATGGGATTAAAAAAACAATCTGAATACAGTACTGAGATGCTGTTAGTAAATCTTACACATCAATGTTGGTTTTGAGGACACTATGGAAAAGCCCCCATTCCCTGTCTGGTAGTGGGGTGATGAGATCCAAAGCAGGAATCAGCGGGGAGTTGAATAATTCCTTAGCGAGAAGGTTTTCTAGGGGAGATGGAACGTGTCTGGCGGGGTCTTTTGTGGTTGTGAGATCGACGAAGGGATCCTCAGCAGCCTGATTCTGTTTTAGTCAAGTAAATGAAAAGTTATTTGATTTGTGAAGGTGATGTAATTATAAATCGGTCATATATAGAAGAAATACCTGATCCTCAGATGTGGGTCCAATGCCCGGTGGCGAGTTAGACGAAAATGTGGCTTTAAAGGCATTGGGTGTTGTTGCGTGGCTTACGAAACCAAGACCACTTTCATTACTCTTGACCGGTGATGTGAGTGGAGTGAAAGGTAGTGGAGCCAAACGTAAACGAATTCGTGGAGGAGAGGATGGACCCGCCGTTTGGTCGGATATGGGACCTGACGATAGTGGTGGGTCTGGGCTAACAGCCGTTTTGTCGTAAATCCTGAGACCATGATAGAGGATGTGATTAATCTCGGGGCTGTCTGGGTGATCAGCTTTATCGTAGATTTTAGAAGGTGGGTCCCATTGTCCCGGGTATAGCTTTCTGAAAGTACGAGTCTCCGTGGTCTTCTGATCTGGTCGGACAGGAGTTGTGTAGATATCGTCATCATTTCCATTTGTGGAAGCATTCAGATTGTTTGTGTCGTGGACAGGTGAGGGGTGGACATCTTGGTTATCGTTTTCCATTTCATCGAAATCCTACCATTCAGACCAAAAAGAGCAAATGATGTTTTTTAACTAATTAGAATCGGTGGTGGATGAAAGTTGAATTATGTGGAAGAGGGTATGAGTAAAAATCACCTGGTCTGTAACATTCTCCTCAGTAGTGACCATTATCCACATCTTACACAAACTGGAATTGTGTGCGTCCTCTGTGTGTTGTTCCATAGTATCTACCACCTAAAATAATAGCATAAAAATCAGACCATGATAAGAGTTAGTCAAGGTTAACAGCGAAACTCAATGATGAGTTGAAAGAAAGAGGGAAAGATGTTCTATCTTAGAGGGGGGAGAAATTTTTTTTTTTTGGGAAAGATTTAACATCACCTGGTCTTCATCTTGATTGTGGTCATTCTCAGGAGAGCGGTGGCTGGTGTCTTTGGTGTTTTCCAAAGAATCAACATCCTACCATGAGAAGAGAAAGAGGTATTAATTACGGTGGTCCCATTAGGAAGAATTTAACATATATGTGGAACAAGAAATGATTGAACCTATTGAACTTTACCTTGTCTTTGGGATTGAGGTCATCAATGCTCAAGTCACTGTCGTTCGAAATGTGGGATGAAACAAGTGGTGTAGGATCAGGGTCATCTGCTAAACGGTGGTCAGGTGAGCTGTGGACGGTGTCTGTGTTGTTTTCCATAGCATCCACATCCTAACATGATAAAAATACAGAATTAGTTAAATAAAGGCGGTCCATTAATTTAGATATGCGTAACCAGGAATTATTGAACGTTACTTGGTGTGTGGAAGCCTGCCGGTGGAGATGAGCTGCGTACTGGCTTATGATAGGTGACTGGTTCTCCTCATGATCATCTATCTCCATACTATCCACATCCTATAGGTGACCAAGAAACAGATTATTTATTTTATATTTTTTTTTCTTTTACTCAATTGAAACACAAATTGGATTCGGTTGGAGGCTGGTTGAACATCACCTTATCGCTGGGAGGATCGATGTCGAGAGGTCTGGCGTGTGCAGACTCATCACCGCTCTGATGTGTGGCCGGAATATCCTATAAACAGAAGTGAAAGGGTTAATAAGAAACTAGAGAAACTAATGACAGAGAATGTAAATTTTTATGAATAAAAGTGTGTGTGTATATTATACCTGATCAAAGGGTGCTCGTTGTCCTTCCTGTTGAGATGTCCGATGCTTCTTGCTATGAGATAGGACTTTATGGAATGATGATCTCCTTCCCTGAGCTTTTCTTTTCATCTTCTTCATTGTTTTGTGCATCTGTTTCATCTGCTTTTGAAGTGTCAACACAATCTCCGTTAGTTGTTGGTTGGTCATACTGTTGACATTTGATGGTGTGAAGTAAGAACTTATGCGTCTTTGCTTCCTAGAAGACGACTCCTTGTTGATTTGCAGCTTTGGTTTGAGAGATTGTTTGACCCGAGTGAGCTTCTTCTTCCCGTGACGGTCACAACGATCTTTAGGCTGTTCAAACAAAGGCTCCGTTGTTACCCCACCAGGCCACATTGACTTGATTTGTACTTATGAGCTATAAGGTCCTCCATGTATGTAACGCGATCATCCTTTGTGGTATTTGACCACTCTCCCCAACCAGGCTCCGCTTGTCTTTCGATAGCTATGACCGGTGTGACAACAAGCTGAGAACATGAGTAAACCAACAAATTTAAATAATCAAGTCAATGGACGAAACACAAACTGAGAACATGAGTAAACCCAAAAAATTTTAAAATAAAATCAATGGACGAAACACTTCTTAACTCTATATGATACTCGTTGAACATTAGTAGTACTCTGGTACACAAGTAAGAGGTTCTTACTGAATTTGGGACTGTGGACATGGAAGTTTAAAAACTTAGTAAGTACTTAGTAGTACTTAGTAGCACTCTGTGGACATGGACAGCATTTTGGACTGTGGACGTGGACATTAGTTAACTAGTTTAAAAATATTTAAATTCAAACACTACCAGAAAAGGAAAACTTTAGCTAGGTCACTTACATTAGAGGAAAATTCGACACGTAGGATATCAAGAGCACTGATGGAGCCGTGTTGGGGTAGGTAACCATCTTCAAGGTCCATCAGCGTCCGGTGGTTGAGAGCAGCAGGGATGAACTGAAGCAGTTGTGGGATGGCGCGGAAGGCAACTAATTGGAGTGTAAGAGGAAAGCCCTGGAGACGGAAAGATTGCTGTTTGAGTTTGTGCACGAGCCAAGCGACATGATCGTTGATCTTAGGTGGAGCAGGCTTGGGTGGTTTCATGCACGAGATGGTCTTCAAGAAAGATTCTCTACCCCAGGGGAAGGCAAAGAATGTTTTGAGACTTGAAAGCATCCTAACATATCGAGGAGTGGATCGGGGGACTTGTTGGTGAGCAATGTGAACACCGTCGACTATGATAATCAGAGCTATTCGAATCTTCTTCCAACCAGGCATGTCCTTCTCTTCCTCAAGCATCTGACTGAGCTCCGCTATAGTTATGATCTTCTTCTTCCCAAAAAGCTTTTTCCAGACTCCATCTTTACCCGCAACAACAGTCGTGGCTGTTTCAGGATGATAATCTTCTGGAAAAGATCTACAATTTAGACCTGTTACAGTTCCAAACTCCTGGAGACCATACCGGAGAGGGTTCCCACCAAAAACGGACCAGAGTGTGTGCTCGTCCTCACTTAGTAATTGGCGAGTGAGGAACGAGTGAATGAGCTTTGTAGATACGAGCTTGACGGGAAGGAATATCGAATAGCTTTCCAAAAGATGACTCTCGGATGATTTTGAACTGTGGAGTATCTCTGAGAAGATGACGAAGGAATGCGAGGATCTCCGTTGAAGAATATATGTTGAGCTTGTTGATGGGGGACCTATCAGTCGCAAATAATCTTAACGGGAGACGAGGATCCGGTTGGTTGTTAGCTGGGAAAGATAACAAAAATTAACCGCGAGTAAACAACAAAAACAACAGCAATTTGAAATTTTGAAGAAAAAACCCTAATAATGTACAAAAATCGGGAATGCAGCAGACGGACAAAGAAATGAAATTTGAACAAGAAACACAAGAAATTCGATAATAGGGGAGTAGGAGTAACCTAAATATTAACCTCTGGAAGATCGCGGCGGATCTGAATCAGGAGAAACAACAGATTTCTTCTTCGCCGTCGGCTGAGAAGTCTTGGATTTCTTCTTTGCCATTAAAGTCGTCGATTGCAGAAGAACTTGATGTCGAGAAAAAATGGGGTTTGATAACGATGAAAAAGGGTAAAAGGGATTTCGAAAAGGGGAAAGTAGAAGTTATCGGATCTGGATTTAGAAAAGGTAAGGTAGAAGTTATCGGATCTGTTTTTGGGTTTTGATTTGTCGTAACCAGAGTTAAATTCTCTGTGGTTAGGTCAACGTGGGGTGGTAAGATACGAGGGTAGCGATGACTTTCGACAGAGTTACAACAGTGATAATGTGTTCCCCAAGTGGGGAGTGTCTAAATGAGTAAATAATAAGACAAAATGTGTCTTAGGAGGTAAAGAAATCAAATAAGATTAACAATTTTTTCACCTCTTTTGTTTACTCCAACAATGTTATACAGTAAGACTCTACTTAACAATAGCTGAAAAATCTCTGATAGTAATACGTGGAAACAAGAAAATGATATTATTTTTTGTTTTTCATCTGACAGCTGAATATTTGACATTTCTTTTTTCTATTGGTTCTTGACCTCTTTCACTCTATTTTATTTTTCTTCAGCTTCTCTGAATCCAAATATATATATTTCACTACTTGCTTTTCTATACAATCATTGTCAACACATACATTTAGTGGATCCTTTCATATTTTACTATGACTATTCTATTGTTTTTTCCAAATCTGTGTAGAGTGTGTAAGTACAAAGATGACACCACAATAAAGTAAAACAGAAGGTAAACCAACAATAAAACACCAATAGCTTTATTAGAAATCGCATTTAAACAATATTACAAGATATTGTTTATTCAGCTTTACACGTCTAGTGTTAACACCCTAACACACACTACTAAAAGATTCCTAAGGTACTCACTTATGTCTCTCTACCGTCAAGTACTTCAGCCACTTCTTCAGCACAACCCAAGAACACTTCTAAGAGCTTTTCTCTCTCTCTATAAGATCAGCCTCTATATCTATGTGTCTCTATAGACGACGACATAGCTATCTTATAGTTATTCTCCACGTTCCCGAAACCTTAGTCTCCAAGGAACACAATATGAACATCTTCCATAACATTAAGTGCAACTTTCCTTTTCTTGGAATGCACGTATTCCTCTTTGCTTAAATCATAAACTTTCTTCCCAAGTTTATTTCTTTTGCCTTTTCTCCAAGATACACTCTTGCTCTCCAAGTCTACATGACTCCAACTCAGCATCTTGACTCCACATGGTCTTCACCACTCAACACGACGTCTGCTTCAGCAACTACGTCATCGACTACTTCAAGGCAGACATCTTACATCAACAATCTTCTTCTTTTAGCTTTGTGTGCCAATCAAGCACAACATCCTTCTGGTTCAACAACCATGTTCCTCACTTGGAACATTGCCTACCAAATGTGCTTTTCTCCCCCACGAAATGTGCACCATCTACTTTAGGACGTTCATCACCATGCTCTTCTCCCCCATGAGATATGCATTCCTTGGACCAAAAACGTCACCACTTCTCCCCTGCTTGATTGCATACTAAGCTAAAACACAGATGCTTAGATGTCAAGCCTTCCATCACAGATACACATGTCCACAAACAACTCTGTTTCCTGGCTCCAGACTTAATGCTTCTTGATCAACCTCAAGATCACTCTTACTAGAGCTGCACCCTTCTTCTGATGTCTCTTCCTTGATCTCATCAAGTAAGCCACCCTTTGCTCAGAACACCTCTTCAACCCTCTTGGGTTTAATGAACATCTTGCTCACCTTCTTGGCCATGTTTCTGCTCTTTTCACATGCAAAACACTCCACCTTCTTGTGTCCAACCTTCCCACAGAACCAACATCACATCCGATGTTGCTTCTTGTTTAGCTTGAGACAGTTGCTGATGCACCGACCAGCCTCCTTTTTTGTACCAGATGCACAACCATGCTTTAGAACGTCTTGTCTAACCTTCATGTTGCTACACTGATGTACTCCGTTCGGCTTGTTACTCACAGCTACACGCTGTAGAACTTCTTTCTGTACTACTTGACGTACGTCTCGACGCACTTCCTTATAAGCTTCTTTGGTTCCACTTTTTTATGTGCTCCCATGCACGAAGTGTGACAGCCCCTTCTGCTGTACTCTAGTACTCTCAGCTCCTCAGTATTCCAGTCCCCAATTCGCCTTGGCTGGTTGTCCCATCGAGAGTATCTTATCCAACTCTTTGGATCCACTGTTGACCATCATGATATGTTAGCGATTCTCAGCCAATTCACGTTCCAGCATCATTGCTCTCTCATGTTCATCAATAGCAACTTCCCTCAGCTTGCTATTTTCCTGCCCAAGAAGCTCATTCTTCTCTTTTACAGCTGTAAGTTCTTCACGAAGTTCTTAAAGAAACTCGTTTTTCTTCTGAGCCACATTCTCCAATCTCATATTTTGATCCTTGACCCTCAACCACTTGTTGAGCAGCGCGTGATACTCCACATCATCTGTACTGCGATCTGAATCCAAGGATTCACTAGACCCCTCTTTGCGTGCACCAAATGCAACCATATTCTTCAACACCCTTTCATCTTCTTCAGACTCCGAATCATCAGACAACTGTAATGGAACTCCTTTTCCCTTCTTTGAGTTTGGATATTCGCACCTTCTGTGTCCAACATCTCTGCACTCAGAACACTTAAGTTCCTTCGTTGTGCCACAGAACAGTCAGCTCTCACATGACCAACTCCTTCACAGTCGTAGCACTTGATAGCTTATCTTCTTCTATCGTTGCCACGATCACCTCCTTGACGACCATAATGATTCCTCCTATCCGGGTGGTTCGTCCCCCTACCAAAATTCATAGCCAACACACCCACGGTATCTTCAAGCTTCTGGAATCTATCACCATCTTTGTCAGCTGCAAGCGCTATACTCTCTGGCGCAGTGCTTGACGTAGAGACTAAACTACTGTCTGTCTCCATCTCTTGTGCCTTCATCATACCCATAAGCTTATCAAACTTGAGCTCATCCATGTTTGTAGTCATTTGCAAGACTGCCTTGTGAGATCCAAACTTCCTTGGAAGACAGCGTAATTACTTCTTTACCAGCTTCTTCTCCTTGTACTTCTTCCCAAGTACAAATGCTACATGCGCCATATCATTGAGTTTGGCACTAAAACTTGCCACAAAATCA